GGTATTCATTTGCAGTGCATCATTTTTAATTGATGTTTCCTCCCTACAGAAACTGTTCATTTTTGTAAGAAGGGTTCATGTCCTTCTAAGGGTGAGAATACCTCTTTTTTTGGCTACACCACCATGAATCATCAACAAAGGCATGCCTAATAACCCCCCATACAATACTGTGAATCGCTTTACAGACAATTTACAACAATTTTAATGCTTTGAAGGCATTGGCTCTGCCAGCAATTATCCCAGTACAGTACTGTTATTCAGTCACTGTGAGTCAGTCACTGTGAGTTAGTCGCTAAAGGTCTTCTTCCCCTGCCAGGAATTTTGTTATTCACATCCTGCCTTGTGCTTTTGATGCATTGGAAATAGTTGAGTTCATTGGAACTTCAGCTCATAAAATGCACTGCTGGTGAAGGGTTGTTTGGCTATGGGTGCGGCCCACTGAGCTCTGCTCTTTGGCCAGTTCACCCCCCAGGTGACGACAGGGGGCTTAGCCTGTCGCAGAAGCAGATGGATATGCCACAGGGTGTGGGCTGAGATTGAAGATGATGGGGCAAGTGCCAAGATCTGTTGGTACAATCTTTCAATTTTTGACTGACGATGCTGCAGAACTTCACAAAAATGGTCCAGACTCTTTTGAAGTAACTCAAAACCTTGGATACAAAGGTGTTGCAAGTTTATTCAAACAACATATTATTCTGGAGTTTTCAGTAGCTCTGGTTCCATACATTTCCACCAAATCACAGCTCTGTCCAGAATAAAACAACTGTCACGAAGGTTTGGTTGTAGAGTATTATACTCATAGAAAGAGAAAAAATATAACACAGTAATTGGTTGGGCTGCAACCGGGGTGCTCGAGAACACCCTATTTTAAAGAGGATGTTTTCACAATTCACAAGTTTTTTCAAACAGTCTTATAAGTTTGCCAGTACTTCGTATGTTCCGCACAGTACGAAGGTTTGATGGATAGTGATTCAAAATCCTGAGACATTTCCTCAGGAAAAAAGGGTTTCTTGTGGAAGTTTTCCACAGAGATTTTTGGGTTAGATTACAGCTTCCGCCGTTGGGGTGAAGTTACTGGTATTCAACGGTTATTTTGATTTCAAGGACTAAAGGTCTGTTTTTTTGGTTCTTGTGAGAATGGGTGAGTAACCCAATTCTCACGGAAGGATCCAAGGACGAGTTTTGGCAAATTGCCGAAACTCGTCTCTGTTTATCACTTTCAAATTCTAAAGGCGCCGTTTAGTGTTTTTCTCTTTGAAGATTAAGTTCAAAACGTTGAGAAGAGTGACATGAGAAATTACTTTCCATCAGCTCAAGGCTGGCAATGAAATTTGATATGCTTGGTTCTGCAGAAGTGCCTCAGAAAATTCGCAACAAACCCCCCCCCCCTTTGTTTATGAGGAGAGTATGAGTTCTGAAGAAACAAAGGGTCGTCGCGCAATTCTATAGAAGGTAGAGCCGATTCTCAGTAAGTGAGGGTAATAAACATTCGCGACGGAAAAAACGCGTCAAAAAAATCTGGTCGTAAAGCTTAGAAGTTTTGAAGGTAGCGCGAAGTCATAAATTCTCGTCTTCTTGCAGCTGCTGGTAACTTGTTTTTTGAGGCGTGTCCTGGTATTGGCAGTTGCTGAGGATAGGCAGGGGTGTGTCTTCGTGCAGATGAGTTGCCATTGATGATGGTGACATAGTGTACCGGTTCGGTGCGTCATGTCTGCTTGGCAAGATGAATATAAACGCCGAATTTTGAGCTTCTGTTACATAGTTTGACTGAGCAGAGACCTGGATTTGGTTGTCTAGGTACAAAATTCTTGAATTAGAAAAAATTGTCAAAGAGGTGTGAAAGGACTGTTATTCGTTAGAGGGAATAAGAGTTTGAGATCTGAGCTGGCCAGTCTCAGATCTTGAAGTACAAAAAGATACTTAATAAAGTCAGTGAAGTGTGATGCGGAGTGGTGTCCTTTGTCGGTGCAGTGAATTGGTTGCGAGCTCGGATGGTTGAAAAAATTGAATAATTCTTGATTCTGGTGAATCAATTTTTGATCCCCTTATTTTAATTCTCTTGAGTGAGCTTTTCTTTCTTTTCTCATCGTACGTGATAGAGAATCGTGAGTCTTTTTGACCAAAGGCTGAACTTTTCCCTTTTGAGATGTATCTGTCGTTTTGACGGATAGTCTAGTGTCATGTATCCTCCCCAGTTGGAGGTCAAAAGTCCAAGGAGTAGCGGTCTTGTGTTTAAAGACCCAAATCCATTGCCTGGACCTTAAAAAAGTAGTTGTAACGCTTCCCCTGTGTTAGGGTAGAGTCTATGCGACCAGAGGTTGCTAACTTTCCATGCGTTTTTTAGGAAGTAGAACCTATGCGACCAAAGATCGCAAAACTTTCCGTGCCAAAATTTTCTGTTGTTGCAGAAATTTTGAGTCTGTTTGACCAAAGGTCACCCTATTTCAGAGCGAATAAACCTTGTGGTGGGTCGGAAGAAGTGTTGACCCTTTGTGGCTTTGATTTCAAGACTTGATTGGTTGAGAATAATACTTTTTTTATTTTAGATCTCGTGCGTTTGTGCAAATTTTCGAAATACCTCAAGTTTGATACTCAGTTTTTTAAGTTTGATGTAATCCAAAAGTAAGAGAAACATGATGGCTTCGTCTGCATCAGAGATCTCTGAACATCCGGGAGTTCAACAAGGTGAGCGTTCCATGGTTAATTTCTCACAGTTGGTCGTTTTCCAAACAAATTTCCGTTAAAAGGGGGATGCTTTTTAAAGTTGTAAAAAGGGGCTTTGTTTACAGGATGATTTAATTAAAGAAAGTTACGTCTAAAGGAAAATTTAATTTAAAGAGATTTTTCACGTCTAAAGGACGATTCCGTTTGAAGAGATTTTTCATGTCTGAAGGACAATTCCGTTTGAAAAGATTTTTCAATTTTGTATAATTGCAGATGAAAATTTGTCCGACTCCATCGTTTCTGAGGGAAAGTTGTTGCTTGATGAGGCGTTGCCAACTGAAGGTAAGAGCCCGAACCTGAATCAGATGAATTTGTAGGATTTTTGATCTTGTTTAAATTGATTGAATTCTCATCGATTCTAATGCTGGTTCATGATCTTAAAGATGTTGCTATGGAGGTTGAGGAGCCCTTTCCAGTGGAGACAAAATCATTCTACCTGCCGACCTCCCTTGTAAGCAGATCGTCGGAGTTGACTATATGCTGTCGGAGGGGGAATGGGAACAACTTCTGGATCTGGTGGCTGTTGTGAAGTCAAAGTTGCTTGCTACGATTGCCAAGCATGGTCTGGAGACTCAAGTGAAGAAGCTTCAGGAGCGGTCGGACAAGAAGAAGCAGCAGATCTCAAAAATACAGGGAGACTTAGCTGAGATGGTGTCGTATGAGGAGACGCTCGCTGAGAGGAAGAAGGTGTCGGAGTTGAACCGGAAGTTGGCCATTCTGGCAACTACGGAGGTGAATTTGAGCACGGTGCAGCTGGCAAGTAGTGTTTGTCAGAGGTCAGTCCATGATCTCGCTACCTTGGCTGTCCGCCTGCAAGGAGTTTCCAGTTTGGTGTTGGAGGAAGGGCCTCTTTGTGAGGTGAAGAGGGAAGGTGTGTACTGAACAAATGCTTGGTTTTAAATTTGAGTGGTTTTTTAATATCAATCTTGTTCTGTTTTGATTTCAGATCAGTTGCTGACTGTCTTGGTTGGTGAAGGGGCCACAAAGGTGTCTCTTTGGATTGGCTCCATGGGAGCGCTTGTCAAGAAGTTTACGGACGAGCATAAGGGTGTTGCTGCTCCAACGACTGCAAGGATGTCAATTCACCCAAGGACCTATGCTGCAGCCACTGCGTCGGCATCTGGACCATCAACACCAAGTGGAGGATCAACCGCTGCTGCGGTAAAAAGACCTAGTCCCAGTGCTGCGTCTCCAGCACCAACGAGTGTCAAAAGATTGGCACTTGCTCCTCAGGAGCCGGAGGTTCCAAAACGTGTCGTGAATACTGGATTTGTTATTCCGAAATTGCGCAATACTGCTAAAGTTGACGTGTCTAATGGTGAGGAGAGGAATGAAGTAACTGTGCTTGAGTAAAACCCCTTTTGACCTTTTACTTTGCATGTTTGTTTTTTCCAGAATTGCTTGACAAATTCTTTGCAAGTAAACTCTTCTGTCCAAAGGATGGAAAAGTGTTTATGTGAAATGCTGCTTGTTGACTTGGGCTGACAACAAGTCATGTGACGGAGTTAGAACCAACAGGACTCCCGGTTCCTGGCTGTCTAGTGCAGGACTGGAATTACAATACTCCTGGCTTGACCTGGGAGTGTGTGCATGATGTTGACCCTACTCAACCTCAGGTCCTTCTCATCGGAACTTCCTTGCTTTCCTTCTTTCGTCTTGTCATGAGGAACCGGGTTTTTGTGACACATGTCAATGAGGCCAAGTGTACAAGAAAGCCAATCTTTGACTTGTCTCATATGACGGCAGATCTTCCGTTGTCTCTTTTTCAAGTGAGTTCTTCATTCTCTGTTTTCTTCTTGGTTTTGTGATGATGAATTCCCCCTCTTTACTGAAACCTTTCAGTACTTGGTCAGTGGCCTATCATTTGGATATGGACAAACGTTGACCCCGTCTGAACTCAGGAACAGGGTGTTCAAAGATCTTGGTTTGCCTGATGGGTTCCAATTTAGTCATATTTTTGTTAGAATTGGGACAAACTAAATCAAAAACTTGGTCCAACGGACTGATCTTTTGTATATTATGGATTTTTCTGGTTTTATGAGAAAGCTGTACAAATTTTTTAAATGATCTTTCTCGAGCCTTTTGGGCCAAAGTTTTTTATCTTGGGGCATCCCCCCCCCCTGTCCAGGGAAGTGGTCGTTTGCTGATCAATTAAGAATGGCTCCAGATGCGCTTCCATCATTTCCTTTGATGTATAAGGATGGGAATCAAAAATGGTGTTGGACGGTGTTAGATTAAATGTAGCGTACAAACTTCAATATGAGTTAAGAGAGAGGATGGCTGCTCTGATTGGGAGAGTTCAGACGGATGGGAATGGAGGACTTGGATGGATGGCATTGCCAACTCCACTGGAGTATCTAAGGAGGTACGTCAAGACATCTGGACTGAAGGGGGCGTTTGGTCATCTCCAACTCCGGGCATATCTGGCCTTTGCAAGGGATCATGTTGTGGCTATACAGCCTGGGCTCTCATATGAGAGTGATCTTGCTGCGTGGACAAAAATTTGGACTTGCCCAGGAGAAGCTCCAAGGTGGAATGATGATGGGACTGCTCAGGATGGGATTTCACCGAAGTGTCTTCACACCCACTTTGGTCATTGAGGAGAGATTGGATGCGTCGGAAGTCCACATGTTTCATTACCCCGAGACGACAATGGGATTCTTCCAGTGGATCCCTTCTTGTTGTAAGTTAAATATTTGAGGTTTTTGTTTAGCTGTAACTAATTGAAACTCTTTTGCATCCTTGCAGAATTGACGACTCATTGTACAAGAAGCCGCTGATAGATGAGTGCTTTTCACTTGAATACATCAAAGGGAGCTACAAGCAGGATGTATCGTCAGATGGAGAGGCTTCTTCCTCATTCAGTTGGAAGGAGACTCATAAGGGGAAAATTGTTGTGGGTGCCCAAGTGCGTGTAAAGGATACATTAGTTCCGAAGTTAGTAATTACTTGGACTCTGGCGGGTTTTTGGATTGTTGGGTTGGGTGGTGTTGAATTTTCTGTAGAGGGAAAATTAGAGGTAATTTGAGTTGTTTGATTTACGCAATCTGATGGTATTCCTAAGGATTATATGGTTTTGTTCTTACTGATTTTTGTTGAGTGAGTGCTGATGTATGATCGTATGATTTGTTACCTGTTAATAAAAATATTGTGTACAGAAAAAATATGTGTTTTAATTTTTCAAATGAAAGTTTTTTGTTTGTTATAAAAGTTCGTCCTTTTGGACCCTATGTAACACAGTCCACTCCCGCTTGGGTGAGTGTATACAGGTTCATTGAACCACTCCTAAATGTAGGCATTGCTTGGTTAGGTTATCTTGAGAATTTCTACCAAAGGTAGTTGAGGAATTTTTATCTTCCTCATTCCCCCCCCCCCCCCGTTAGGTTGGTTGGTTGTTTGTTTCAATTTTGGTAGAAGTTAACTTCATTGAGGCTAGTTTTTGAACAAGCTCCTCTTTGCCTTGTTGAACTTCAGTTTCCAATGGAATGAGGTTTTGTATGACTTGATTCTTTAGGATTGTAGGTTTGGGTTCTCCTGTTCCCCCCTGTCTATGGGTTGTAAAGATGTCTGCAGCTCTGACAACATTGTCCCTTCTGCTACGGTGAATTTTAATAATTTTAGCCTGTTTCCATTTAAGCTTATGAAGAGGCAAATTTGCGTTAATCATGGAGGGTTTTAAGAATACAATTTGATAGATCTTTGGTTCTAGGGGGTTCCCCTTTCCAGTTTTGGTGTTAAATTTTCTCAGTCTTGAGATAAAGCCTTCATAGAAGGATTTCCAAAGGGGTTGAGCAATTTCGAGTCTTCTTGTTGCATTTTCTGAGAGTCTATGGTTTTCAGTAATACCAAGAAATTTTAATGGGTCGGGACTGTACAAAAAGGGATTAACTTCCCAATCTCCTTGATGAGGGTTTATGAACATGGAAGGGGTTATAGGCATGAGGGATTTGCAATCTGAGTATAGGTAGGTTAATGGTCTGTTATTATTCATGTTTTCTATTTGGGACACTACTGATTGAAGAGCATTCCAATTATCAAAGGCTAGTCCTCTAAATGACCTTGCTAGGCATTCTTTTATCATGCTCATGTGTCTTTCATAAAAGCCTCCCCACCAGGGAGCTCTGCTAGCATTAAAATGCCATTCAACATTTTTGAATCTCACTCATAATTGTTATTGTTGTGCTTTAAGGAGTATTGGCCAGGCAGCTTGAAATGTGGCTGCATTGTCAGATACTCAAATTTTGGGGCAAACATTTTGTGTATTGCAGAAGGTTTCATAAGCACCTATGAAGGATTTAATTGTAAGATCTTGTACTGCTACGAGGTGGACATCAGCTCTAACAAGTGGGCAGGAGAAAACACAAATTGACACCTTGTGGGATGGTGATAGGATTACCTTTTTCGTTGTTAACTCTTTTGCTTGTTTCAATGGTGATGAAGGGATTGACAAAATCAATACCTACAGCTTTAAAGGGAATGGATCCGAAGTATCTATATTCAGGAAGGGGAGCAGGTGGAGCACAATATGGCTTTGCGTCAAAACGCTTTGTTGTCCTTTCTATTACAGGACTGAGTCGAGAATANATGACCACACGCAACAAGAACAAGACAACCGAATATCACTCGACTTTCCTAAAGAGTTGAGCCCACCAGGGTTTCAGGATTGATTGTACTTTAATTACCATAGGAAGGCTATTGTAGCTTGTCATGAGAAGTTGTCAAGACTTCTCATCAAGGAAATTGCAGCGATTATCTTTGCTTTAGCAATTTCCCATTTCTAGGCTTTCTAAACGGTTTCTTCTGAAACTACCAAAAAGGGTCTTTTGTAAGTTACTGTATTTCTAAGATAACAAACTCACCCTGCACAATAAAAAAAAAGGTTCCATCCTTTTGTGAAAGTCAGCAGAAAAAGGAACAACAAGTGACCCGAGTGCAAGACTCAGTGCAACAGTGCCCTATTTTCTGTTGCTGTTTCTTTCAGGAGCCATAAAGGCTTTTATGGAAATGGCAATTGTTATTGCTATCCATCAGGAGGAATCAGGCATGGATCCGACAGTTGTTTGGATCAAGAAGAATGATAATATCTTTTTCAGTTGGCATCAAGTGCCTTTCGTTAACGGATGATCCGTTGGGCCTGAAATTTTGGCGGTTGACTTTGGTGAGTATTGTTAACTTATATTAATTTTTTCAAAATTTTCGGTTGTTAAATTAACGATTTTTGTCTCGAACGACGCAGCATTGTAACGACTTCCTGTCGGACGAAATTGTTGGAAGTTGATGGGTCTCCTGGAGCTGGTGGCCTCAAACATTGTTTTGCGAATTGTTCGGTTGCTGAGTGACTTTGTGCTGCTAGGGATCTTCAACTTTTTCAAAAGAAGGCTTCATCAAGTGAAAAGTGAGTTAACAAAAAAAAACTTTTGTTTTTCAGAAATAACATTTTCTTTGAAAATTTTCACAGATGGCGTTCCTGAGACTTCTGATGTTGCTGGTCGTCGGTGTTGCGGCTGCTGGGGCGGACTGCGGTCCCAAAGCTGCGGTTCCTGTGTCGGGACGTCTGCGGCAAGGAGGTGAGGGGCGCCGGCGGTTACGGGCGTCGTGTGACATTTGTCGGGGCAACGCTGTTCCTGGACTGTGTCCGGCAAGCAGACCTGAAGGTAAGCGGGAACAGTGTTGTTGTGTGGCAGATTTGACAGCATTCTTATTGTTAGGAGGTGAAGCTGTTGTCGCCAACGGTCTGCGTCAGGCGTTGGGCCGACATGGATCGTGTCGTGACGCCTTGGAGGTGGTGCGAGGAAGTCGTGCCCCCCAAACCGGAGATCTCGACAGCAGCAGTTCCGCCGGTGGTTGGTGAGTTGTTTCAGCTTTTCCACACAGACATAAGACATTTCAAAAACACAACTCACACACATAACATCATAACACATATCCAACACCTGACCAACACCAAAACGAAAAACATTTCCTTCACCAATTCTAATAAAAATTTTTGTATGTACAGATGAGCCTCGCCTAGTGGCGCCAACGGCCAACCTGGCGGTCGTTCACGTGCCGGTGAGCAAGACGCCGTACGTGGTACGGACGCCACCCTCGACGCAGCAAAGCGTCGTGGTGGCCCAAGAGGTGCCACACGTCATCAGGGCACCGTTGTCGACGCCGGAGGTGACGGTCAACATCAAGCATGGTGTTGCGCACGTTGAGGCGGACGTGGACCCGTGGACGGCAATGGTCCTGGTCTTCATGGGCCTTGGGGGAGCTGGAGCCACATCTCTGGCTGTCTTTTTGGTCTGGCTGGTTAAGTTCATCAGGAACAAGGTTAGCCAGT